CAATCGTATAGCACAGTTAACTTAATCGTATAACACAGTTAACTTAATCGTATAACACAGTTAAATTAATCGTATAAAACAGTTAAATTAATCGTATAACACAGTTAAATCAATCGTATAGCACAGTTAAATTAATCGTATAGCACAGTTAACTTAATCGTGTAAAACAGTTAAATTAATCGTATAAAACAGTTAAATGAATCGTATAACACAGTTAAATTAATCGTATAAGACAGTTAAATCAATCGTATAAGACAGTTAAATGAATCGTATAAGACAGTTAAATCAATCGTATAGCACAGTTAAATTAATCGTATAGCACAGTTAACTTAATCGTATAACACAGTTAAATCAATCGTATAGCACAGTTAAATGAATCGTATAAGACAGTTAAATTAATCGTATAACACAGTTAACTTAATCGTATAACACAGTTAACTTAATCGTATAACACAGTTAAATCAAAAGTTAACTGTGTTATACGATTAAGTTAACTGTGCTATACGATTAATTTAACTGTGCTATACGATTGATTTAACTGTGTTATACGATTAATTTAACTGTTTATACGATTAATTTAACTGTCTTATACGATTAATTTAACTGTGTTATACGATTAAGTTAACTGTCTTATACGATTAATTTAACTGTGTTATACGATTAATTTAACTGTTTTATACGATTCACGATCCAGTAATCCACTCCGGCCATTTACATCTCCTTACAAATCAAAGACACTCTACTCCACTTGTTCCAGTGTACTCAGTTGTTAGCTGGGGGATAACTTGCAATGAACTGGCATGCCGTCCAGAGGAAGATGGTTCCCCATCCTAATAGCTGGGGGATAACTTGCAATGAACTGGCATGCCGTCCAGAGGAAGATGGTTCCCCATCCTAATAGCTGGGGGATAACTTGCAATGAACTGGCATGCCGTCCAGAGGAAGATGGTTCCCCATCCTAATGAACGTGTGCCAATTTAAACTGGAGTTCGAAAGCCTTATAAAGGCACGGTAAGTATTTACTTCTTCTCTCTATTTTTTTTAACAGGCTCAAAGGTCAATAAGTGATCTTTATTGTCCTCATATTATTGGGGTTCTTTGTCACTAACCCGAGTTTCACTTCATTTTGTTCGTGGAACAAAGAACGTAGCTAAAATAACTTACCCCCACTTTGTTCTCACCCTCTTTCCAACTTAAACGTTAACAAATGTTGATAGTTTTTACGTTTTCTAATTTAAAATGTGTAACCTTTCGAACCCAGCTATTGGTATTATGAATCATAAACATTGAAAGTGAAATTGAGTGCAATACTTCACTAACCTTTTGTTTTTTTTTGTTTCGCGTATTAATTTTCGCTTAACAACGACTCTTTTTTTCTTTCTAAATTATATAACTTTTGAGTTGGGTTTCCCATAATTCAGTTTTATAAAATAAAAATAACAGCTTCTATATTTTTGTCCCACTTTCAGAAACCCTTGGACCATCATTAGAGCTAGTTCCAAAGCGCCACCTTCTAGTGGCTATTAATCCAGCTGGTGGTCGAAAGAAGGCATACGAAATATTCAAAAAACAAGTAGTCCCCCTTTTGGAAGAAAGTGAAATTACTTGGGAAGTTATATTGTCGGGTAAGTTGGATAAAAAAATTTAAGTTATAGAAATATAGTTGGTTTAAAAATAGTATTCAAGGAATAAAAAAAGTGTGGAGATCTTTTTTTTTTGGATAAAATGTTTTTAAGGATAAACTACAAATTAAGAAAAAATAATCTATTTAATTTTATTCACTGTATTGTTTTGTTTGTTTGTTTGTTTTTGAATTTTCGCTCAAAGCTACACGAGG